TATATATATATATATATATATATATATATATATATATATATATATATATATATATATATATATATATATATATATATATATATATATATATATATATATATATATATATATATATATATATATATATATATATATATATATATATATATATATATAATATATAGATAGATAGATAGATAGATAGATAGATAGATATATAAATATGAAAATATATGGACATATACCTCAATCTGACCTATAACAGGCACCATAAAGCAGCACACAGAGACTATGACCAGCCCCATGACCACCAAGAGTTTGCGGCCTACGCACAGCGTCAGTAGGTAGGTGCCCGCAGTTGCTATCAGTTCGGTGATACCCGACAGACACATGGAGAAGTATAGATTAGACCTGACCGGCGAAGAAACAGGGCGAGTGGATTCAGTGGTACACTTTTAGGTAAAATGAAAGCTGGCCATGAGACTACAGTACACAACACACATTGCCGCACAAACATACCCACGTGCACAGAAACAGCCCGATGTATGCAGTTCCGTGTGTACAATACACCGGCATTTCGGCAATTCGCAGTGGTTCAAGCAGGTGCCACAGCAAGAATACCTCATACAATAGCTGCATAACACCTCATACAATAGCAGCATAACACCTCATACAATAGCAGTATAACACCTCATACAATAGCAGCATGGGCATATGCTTTGCTAAATAGAATATACGAACTCCACAACACGATGCCACTGGAATTTGAATCGAGCGCTCGAAGATCAGGAAATGCAATGCAAACAGGCCAGCCAGGGGTATACGGTAACTATGCACACTTGAACCACCCCTTAGACACACAAACTCTATTGAGATCAACAGCAGGCGTTCCCACACCACATGTAAACCTCATACACAGGACGATATAGCACTCGATTCCAGGCACTGCATTCCCAACCTCCCCACAATTGCCACCGTATCTCAATAGCTACTACACCTGGAGCAGCGGATGTGCCTCGGAATAAACACTTCCAGCGCTATCTAAAGAAGTTTAGGGAGGGGGCCAAGAGGTTCTATACAACAGACAAGCATGCACAAAGGTCGAAGACCTCGCAATCAATCGAAACTTCAATATTCGTAGATATACTTTAACATAGAGTAGCATAGTTCGTACCCGAAAGGTCGAAGACTTCGCAATGATCGAAACTCTGATATCCGTAGACAGGCTATAGCATAGAGTGGCATAGTACATACCCAAAGGTAGAAGATCTCGCAATGAATCGAAACTAATATTCGTAGATATACTTTAGCATAGAGTGGCATAGTACATACCCAAAGATCGGAGACCTCGCAATGAATCGAAACTCTAATATCCATAGACAGACTATAGCATACGAGTAGCATAGTACATGCCCAAAGGTCGAAGACCTCGCGATGAATCGAAACTCTAATATCCGTAGACAGACTATAGCATACGGGTAGCATAGTACATACCCAATGGTCGAAGACCTCGCGATGAATCGAAACTCTAATATCCGTAGACAGACTATAGCACAGAGTGGCAGAGTACATACCCAATGGTCGAAGAGCTCATGGTCAGCCCGTAGTACACAAAGCTAGACGTAAACCACAGCAGACACACGGCCCACGCACGCACGCGGATGGCTGGGTGGGTTAACAGCGTCCAGGTGCCCGACTCTGTCTGCTGCACTTGCGGTTCTTCAATGTCTTCCTCCGTCCTTAAACCATCGTCTCCATCTTTGAGGTTATCTGTGTCAGGTAGAGGTGAGCTTGATTGTAAGTATATGCGTGCAGACATGGGCACAAGGAAGGAAGGAAGGCGTGTGTAATTAGTTGTTTACGAGCGGTGTATTCGCGTAGGTGTGTTGGTACGGAGTGCGTGTGCAGGGGGTGAGTGCAGAGGGCACGTGCGTATGTGCGGATTAATCAGCCTCCTCCACCATACACAGAGAATACGATAACCTGCACAACAGGTTCATATCCTTGATCAGCGTCTGTGCAATAGTTCGGTACCTTCATTGTCCATGTCCTCATCGGTATCCTTTGCACGGGCCTCCAGCTCGTCGGCCTTCCCCAGATAGTTATCTTCGTGCAGGATCTGGCCGTTGATCTACAGTCATTGCGGGGATTTCACTCGATAGTCAAGTGTGCGTTATAAACAATAGCTGACCCCTCCCACGATACAACCAACTAAACAAAGTGGGCATCGACTGCTGAGCCGAGATATAGAAATGCACCACGCAGGCCGACCGAGGTGGTCTGAACGACGCGAATTTGGTTCGCTGTGTATAGGCCAGAGATTGATCAGCATGCTACGTGGACTACGTATGTGGTGTAGCCTGCTAGAAGGTACTTGCACCCAGAAAATAGGACACAGGTCCAGGAGACCTAAGCCCCCTAGTACAGCGATATGTTGTAGCAACACCACTGGTTACATTTATGTAGTACACATAGACTTGCTGTGTATCGATGTGAATAAACAAACTACAGTGCACTCATATACATGATGTGACATTAAGAGTTTCGATACTCGACATAGGCAGAACAAAAGAGGGCTAAGAAAATTTCAGAACAAATGACAGCAACTGCGGCCAATCGCACCGTGAACGAGCGCAAGAGCATATCTAAACAGACCGCGAGAGGCTCGCCAAGCAGAATATATAAACATTTACATATGCATATACATATACAAATACATATACATTTACATATACATATATATATATATATATATATATATATATATATATATATATATATATATAATATATTATATATATATATATATACATATACTATATTATATATCTATATATATATATTATGTTATATATATATAAATATAAATATATATATATATAATATGTATATATGATAAATATAATATATATATATAATATTATATATAAATATATATATATATAATGATATATATATAATAATAATAATAATAATGTATATATATAATAATATACATAATAATATATACTTATATTGTATTATATATATAAATATATATATATATATATATATATATATATATATATATACATATATTTATATATATATATATATATATAAATATATATCTATATATATATATATATCTATAAATGTATATATATATATATATATATATATATATATATATATATACATATATATATATATATATATATTATATATATAAATATACATATATATATATATATATATATATATTATATACACCACACATATATATTATATATATATATATACATATCCAG